TCTCTCGTCTCTCGTCTCTTCTTTTTTTATTTATTTTTCCTTCTTGAAGCCTTTTATTTTCTTTAGTGTCAAATGGGGGACACATTTACAACCCAGGTGTCTCCTGTTCAGCAAGGAAACATGTTGCACTTTTCTGGAATCAATTGCTTGATGTTAGACTCAGTTCTGTACTTTTTATTTGCACTAAGGCAACTTAGTGTTTATTGTCTTTAGGAAATAGAATGTCAGGACTAAAAAGAAAAATGAGTGAAATTAAATTAGAAAATGTATTTTGGAGAAGCTGAACCATGTAGGTTTACATGGATACCTGCAGGGATGGGAAAGGAAATTCAGGGTCTTCAAAATTACAGACCCACAGCTAGTGTGGGCTCGCAGTACTTCAGCAGACTTTAGCCTTGGACTTCCATTTGAGTTCTGCAAATATCTTATAACTCACCATCTTTATGTCGTATCATTCACCTAAAGGGCTTTATTAATAGTTAATAGATAATGCACCTGAGTGCATTGTATTAGAAGTCCAAGTTGTTCTACTGACCTGAAATTTTATCATAAATACATAGTTGGGAATCATAGTCTCACTGTTCTGAAGTGAAGACAGCAAATTAACATATGGAACCATTTCTTCATATCGTATTGGTTGGGGCAGATTTTCTTTTTATTAGGAACGGTTTTAGGAGTGATTAGGTTTAGCAACCACATGTGGCTACTGTAGCAAGCTCTTCTCTCAGGGGACCACTCCATACAATGTTCTCTCTCGCCCCCTCTGCTCTTTCACTCTCCCCTTCTCTCCCTCCCTCCCCCCTTCCTCTGACCTTCTTCTCCTTCCCTCCCTCCTTCTAGAAAATGTGCTGTGTTGACAGACAATGGGAACTGTCTCTTAAGAATTTTGCCTTTTATTGAAAGAGGCTAATTTTATAAAAATGTTGTTTGTATCAGCAACTCCTGATAAAATATCTATAAAAGGAAGACATTCTCCTTACACAGTCAGGATTTCTATTTTTAAAAATTTAAAATATTGGCCATCATGCTATTTTCAGATGGCAGCTTGATCCACAAATGTAACCTAAGTGATATCTGATGATTCTCTAGTATTTACATCAAATTTGATGATAATCGACTTGGATGTTCAAGAATTATCCCAGAACAGACAAGCAAGAAAGACTAAGCTGCCTGTTTGAAAAAAGTGACTTCATTCAGTTGGTTCAGCCACCTGTGTCTACAATGCATCTATGCTGCCTGCTTGGTTTTAGTGGGTAAAGAGAGGGGGCATTTTTAAGTGCCTCTCAGTGGGAATAATAGCCACAAGGCACTTTTACATCCAATTCAATGCAACGTGAACCCTGATTATTTAATAGTGTAACAGCAGCGAATCAGAGTTCTTTCTGTGTGATTTTGCTGACATTTCCAACAGCTGGATATTTAATTCACAGTCAGGGGCGGAATAAACTTCAGTCATCGATCAGAATGTAAGCAGGTGTCCCTGAGCTCCTTCTAGGAACACAACAACCTGAACACATGCAGATGTGCACAGAATTTTCATCCAATCTGGGAGAAGCTGCAGGCTCTTTGCAGTGACAGTTTCATATCTTCATGAACTAAGACATATTAAAGGGAGATAGTCATTTATTTGTAGCCTATAAACTGCTGCTCCCGAATGAAGGTTGAAAAGCACCTAGTGACAGGCCTTTACAGTTAGAGAAAGCATCCTTCATCTGAAGTAGGAAAAAGTGCTCTGAACTATTGGAAGTATTGTACTCCTATCTTTTTAAGGGCTTCCTGTTTGCTGAGACATACCCCCAAGTTTCTAGTGTTCTAACAAGATCCCCTTCCTACTGCGTATTTCTCATAGTTCTGCTCAAGACAGGAAGCGGGAGGGTGTGGGAGAGGGTGACGCTGATTCTTTCCATTGCTTCATTCCCCATAATCAACAGGTTACTTGGGATGCTTCTAATTATCTCAGGAACTGAGACCTTTCATCATCCCCACGGCTACTATAGTCTAGATTGCTGGTCAGACTCCTAACTAGTTCCTCTCTTGCCTGTTGCACTTTCTGCCTTTCAGGCCATTCGCCACACTGTAGAGCTATCTGATCACATCGTTCTTCAGATCAAATCCTTCTGTGTCTTCCCACTGCCATAGTCATTGTCATTGGACAACAGCCGTATCCATAGCCTGGTTTCCAAAGCCCACCCCCCTCCTCTGCAGGCCTTCCCCCCCATCCTCTGTTGCGTTCCACCCACAGCCTAACTTGCCCACACTCCACAGTCCCCAGTCCCGCATCGCGATTGTGCGGGGAACTTCTGCTATCCTTTAGGCCTCAGCTTAGGTGTCTCTCCGTCAGGCTCTGGAAAGCCCCACCCCCACCCCACCACACCTGCATGGGGTCCCTCTAGATGTTCTCAAGCTCTCTCCTTTCTGTCCCATAGCATTTGTCTCTTAGAGGGAATGATTACTTAATCATTTCTCTGCAGCTAGAGGATTTTTAGTGGTGAGATTGGGTGTGTTGTTCACTTCCCCATCTACAGTGCATAGCACAACGTGTGGCTCGTATAGGTACTTAATACATATTCTGTGAATGAAGGGGGAAATCTGAAACTAACCAAGGCCTGATAATCATCCACCTAGATAAAGTCTATTGCTTTCCAGCTCTAACATCCTGAGTCCCATGTGTGAAACCAGAATGAAGAAATCTGGTGTCTTCTAAATGGTCTCCTTTCGCCAACCGCTATCTCCTGCTCATGACATAATCCCAGTGAACCATGGTGAATTAGAGCCATTAACATTCTTGATCACATCTTATATTCAAAATACATAAATTTTCCAATTTCTTTATGGAACTGTTAATTGCTTTAATATATAATCTTTGACACTCCCTCATTGAAAAAGAACTGTAAAAATATATAAAGCTGGGCCCATTTGGGGATGTCAATAGAGTTGAAGAATTTTATGGTTATCTCTCTGTATTCTATACTCCTTTCAGAGGGACAAATATTCATTTTAAACTACAGTTAAAGCCTAAGATTTAGTTCTTGGCATAAAAGAAGTACCATAGTAAAATTTTTATATGGAGACTCTTAATTTTGCAAATGTGTTTGATACTCTACAAAAGCAGTTTAAGTAAGCTGTAGAGAGAGGAACATATTGAGGCTTTTAAAAAGTACCTCCCACGTCTCATGAGAAAGGAAGAGCAGTTGGGAGTGAGCTGCTAACTTTCTCTCATACAGTGCTTATCCTAGGAAAAGTAGTATAGTAAGAGACAATAATTAAAGGGGGTCAAATATATGGTGACTGAAAGAGGCTAGACTGTGGGTGGTGAGCACACAGTACAATATACAGATGATGGGTTATAGAATTTACACTTGAAACTTATGTTATTGACCAATGTCATCCCAATAAATTTAATTTTAAAAACAAGACAATAATACCTTGGTCCCTCAAATCTCTATTTTTTTCCCTAGTAGGCTCTGTAAAGGAGTGTTATATTCCTTAATGGGACAGTGCAAAATGAATTACATAATGACAACGCAGATAAATGCTTAGATACAAAATGTGTGCTATGACTCTATGTAACAGACAGCTCATGTTTTCTCCCAAGCATTTTGAAATCTACATAAAGAAAAGTATTTTTAGTTGCTATGGTTAACAAAATTTCTTTTTAGCACTTCTCACTGTATCCACAGAAAAGTGATGATTTTTCTTTGAGTTAATTCCAGCTGCTCATAAACTATAAAATTATAAGGTGCAATTGACACAAAAAGGTTTTGGAATCAAGCCTTTTGCTCGACCCTGAAGCATTTGACTGGGCTTCTATAAAAATCTTTTTTCACACTTTGACTCACAACTCTTCATCTTCCGCCACAGTGTAAAAGACAGGGTGTAAAAGATGTGGTCTTAATTAAAGAAGGGAAATTTTTTTTACATCCTTCAGCTTGGGAAGTTGATCTTCTTGTATCGGATCTTCAAACCTAGGTGATGACATCTATCAGGGTAAACAACCAAAGCAAATACACATTTTGTACTTGACAAAATCTGGAGCTTTTTACTTTGCTTTAAATTTTAGTATAGATTATTCAGAATTCAATCTTATAATCCACCCACCAAACTTGATATGTGACACTGTTTAATAAAAATACCACTAATAATATGGTTTGTTCAAAGACCACTTTGGGAGTGTGCTTCTTTGAAGGTGTGCATAGGCTCCAATTTTGACTTATCTGCCAGTAGTTATTGCATTTGTAAGATTCTAGTTTCTCGTCTTTCCTCAGGTTCAGGCCCATTCCCATTCTCCCTCACAATAGCTAGGGTCCAAAAGGACTTGGGAGGGGATAGGGGAGGGGGTGGAAGTTGGGGGAAAGGTGTAGGCAGAGCAAAGACACAGTGTCTGCAGCAGCCAGGAGTGAAAAATGCTGGAGGAAGTGAAAATGTCCACCACCAGGCTGAGAAACTAAGCCTAATCATGTTGCCAGGGCAGAAGCAGATCTGTATCAGTTTGCTAGGGCTCTATAACCACAACCACAGACTAGGTAGCTTAAAACAGAAGTTTATTTCCTCACAGTTCTGGAGGCTGGAAGCCCAAGATCAAGATGTCAGTAGGGTTGGTTCCCTCTGAAGGCCGTGAGGAAGGGGCCTATTCTAGGCCTCTCTGCGTGGCTTGTAGAGGGCTGTCGTCACCCTGTGTCTTCACATTGTCTTCCGTCTGTGTGTGTCTGAGTCTAAATTTCTTCTTCTTATAAAGCTACCAGCCATATTGGATTAGGGCCCATCCTAATACCTCATTTCAACTTGATTGTCTCCATTAAAGACCCTATCTCCAAATAAAGTCACCTTCTGACATAATGCCATTAGGACTTCAACATATGAATGTAGTGGTGGCAGTGAGTGGGGGACATATTCAACTTAACAACATCCCAAAATAAGGAATAAGCCAGGGCTGGGACCTGTGTAAAAACAGAAAGAAATATTTTCAATTCAGGGATCAAGTAAGGCAGGTTCTGACACAAATGGAGGTGAAATGTCCATCACGGGCTTTACCGATCATTTTTATGTGATCATGTGCATGCTATGTACCTGGATGTAGATGGAGCTGACTGCCCTAAAGGTTCAGGGTCTGATACCCTCCCCTTAGGGCGCCTTTCATGTCCTTCCCAGAGCTAGATAAGGTAATAGTAGATTTCCCCCAGAGATGGAGAAAGAGAGAGTTTAAATTCATTTCGTTTAATTCCCACAGTATTTTTGGAGCAGCTATATGTGCAAGGTGATGTTAGGTCATGGTCATGTGTCTCTACTCTCAACTTATAATGAAAAAATGGTACTCAGTTCATCCAAGGTTAGCAGAGAATCACTTCCTAGGACAAAATTCTAATTCCTCAAGATTCACATTTTCTGGTGATCCCTCACTACTCACCATGGCCAACTCTCCCAGTCCAGCATTCCTAGGAAATGGGATTATGAAATACTATGACACTCCACTTTTCTATTCCATTATCCCTAAATATTTAGTTAAGTGTTATTTCAAAATGTTAAGGGGAGGATCACTTAATGCCTAGGATATTACAGTGGCCCGGAGGCCGATAGGGTGGCTCTAGTAAGTAGTGAGTGACCATCAGAGGTGAGGCAAATGCAAAGCCTTGTGTCTCCATTGCTGAATTTGAAGGATGTGATCAGGGAGGTTTCCTTACAACACAGTTCTAGCACTTATGTTGAGGAAGTCCTCTTTGAAATTTATATATTCAGGCTGCAGAATCAAATGATTTAGATACTTCTGAGAGATTTCTGTGGAAATCCTGTACATTTGGTTGGCATATTTCCTACACCAAAAGTGTGCAGCTGGTATTTTATTTTTTCAGTTTTTAAAATCTAGTTTATTTATTTATTTACTTTAAAATTTATCTTTATTGTTGAAAGTATTACAGATGTCCCCTTTGCTAGTGTTTTAAATGTGGGGTGTAAGTGTAGTTAAGGAATGCTGACTAACTTGCAGATTTATCAATTATCAAGGGTTTGGATGTTATAGAGAAGAATATTAAATTTTATTCCACATATAAGATAAATTTTAATTCTATTTTCCATCCTTATCAATATTAATTTTTTGAGTGAGAGCCCTTCTACTGACTCTATGTAAAATAATCTTGTTTAAATCTACTATTCGGGATCAGAAGAGAGATTTACAGAATATGAAATTAATTCCAAAGATGTGAAAATTTAGGGTAGCAAGAAAAATGAAACAGTAGTCCCTCAAAATTTTGGAATCAATAGCACCTACTGCCATGTCACTACAGTGCTATTAACTATAATTTATTTATGCTTATTCAGTTCACCTACAATTGTCGTCATTGTGTCCACACAGTTTATCTACATTAATTCATTTATTCTCACTGCAACGTTGTAAGATTAGATATTATTGTCCTAGTTCACAAAAGGAAGCTTAGAAAGGTTGTCAAACGTTGCCCAAGGAGAGAAGGGGGATAGATGGCCTCTCTCTGACTCTTAGGCCATGCTCCTAACCAGCAGGGTTCATGACAAAGGCTTTTCCAAACTCATGAAAAACTAATCAAGAATTCTCAGTGTTATAGCAAAGATATACTGTAAACTAATACATAAGTAACATTTCAGAGGATACTTATTATATCTTACAAAAATGTGTCAAATCATAAAGGTAGCCCAAGATTGAAGAGTGTAATTGTCCTATTTATCCTGTACATTATGAATGATTGAATCAAATTTGGGGTTGATTTTTCATGTTTCTGTAATCCAAAAAGCTGGAATGAAGTCTCTAATTAAATATCCAAGAATTGGTTTCAGATGGACAGGTGGCTCAGCCTCAAATCTTGACTCTTTTACAAATTAGTTAATTGACCTTGGAAAATTCACTTAGCCTTTCTGAGCCCCAGATGCTGTCCTGCAAGATTTGTGTCATCTGAATGAGATCATCCATATGGAAATACACAATTAGTACTTTGTGACACAAAGTAGTACTCACTGAATGTTTGCTGAATGTGAATATCAATCGGTTGTTTCTTTACAGACCAGATTTCTCAAACTTTCCAAAGATTAGTTCTTTCTCTCATAACATCATGCTCTCATGTTTGAATAGTACAGATCGCTAGCTCAATGTCAGATTTTCAATGTCCCATATCTTTGTACCACAATGACTATGTCTAAGATTATATACTGGTTTTTAAAGTTTTTATTCAGGTTTTTACTTCCTAAAATTATATTGTAACTATTTTTTTTTCTATAGAGATCGGAACCTGGAAAATTTAATTGAAGTGAATTCTAATGTGTCCAAAAATAAGAATGGAGGGTAAGGCTTATTATAATTTATTTTTGTTTTATGAATTCCATATGAGCCTGTATAAATTTTGTAAACTTGGAATATTTTCTGAGGAACTGAACTATAGTATGGTATTTAAATATAAGCACTATCTTAACACAAAAAAAAACATGTACAGTGTGATTAATAAACTGAGATAGAAAAAATTATCAAAGTTTAAATTCTGTTAAAATTTCTGAGTAAAAGCCTGCTGTCCTATTGCTTAGTATAAAAGGCATCATGAAAATTCAAATTTCTGCACTTGGTCTGTGAAGACCTATTTTTACTTGCTGTTGCTTGGTAGGTTTTCAGTGGTGCAGAAAGCACTCTGAGAATATCTTCCTTGGATGCCTAGTGCTAAAAGAATAAACAAATTCAGCACAGCCACAAAGCAGGACCTCATTTTGAAATTTCTTTACACCACACAGTATAACGGCTTTAAAACTATTGTGCCTTGGTTGCTTTTACAGGAAGGTTTTGGTAGAAGCTATACTATATTGTTGTTACAGACTGTTTACATTTGGGAAGAATAAAAAAATTATTCCATGTTTAGCAATTCCTCCCCACCGTTCGTGGGGAGGACCCTAAAACAATAGCGTTCTATTTTGTATCTTCCTAAGGTGCAGCTGCCTTTTCTGTTTAAAAATTTTTTCAATGTAAATAAATGATATTGTTGATAATTTGTGCAGAGAATAGAAAATCCGGAAAAGAGATGGATTGTTTATTCCCCTTCCCCCCAATATGTATAAGAGGCTCTTGTATCTAACAGGTGGTTTCTTTCTGTTCCCTTAATTCCCCAAATCATCTGCCTTCCTTTTTTTTTTTTCCTTTGGTGGTATTAAGTGATCCTTCCATAGAATGAGAAAGTAAATTTTCAATAGCATCTATTTATCTTGGGAAAAACATTCACTACTTTGGAAACAGGAACGTGCTTATAATTAACCGATCTCATTCAAATATTATTTGGAAGTGGTCACTAAAAAAAAAAAAATTCAAGTAAATGATTAAGTGTAAGGTAGGAACTTCCCTCCTTTAATGTGATTTGCGAGGTGCTCGGGTGTCCACAGGCCGCTAAGGAGGGAGCAGACCCCACCCTAGCCCGCGGGCAGGGATGCAGCTTGGCCTGGCTTCCCAGACCTGCCCCGGAGGCCGCACATTCGTGACCAGAGCACACTCCATGGGGGGACCTTGGCATTAGCCCCAGGTTTTGGGTCATTAATATGACTCAGCTTCTTCCTGCATGTTGGCCTTCGCTGTTTTTCTCCTGCTCCTTCCTCTGCTTACTGGCTTCCTTGTTCCCTGTGCTTTGGCTGTTTGATGACCAAGACCTTTCGCTGCCTCCCGGTTCTTGCTGCCTCCCATCGGCTCACTCTAGCTTCCAGGGGCATGTGGCAGCGAGGGCATGCCACCTGCAGAGAAGGGTGGAAATGGAAAACACCCTGGGGGGCTCCAAGGTGCACACTCTCCTTTCCCTTCTGCAATTGCATTGGCGCCTCCTACCGGATGTAATCCAACTGTCACATAGACACCCAGTGGCAGGGTGACCGTCATGTTCAGAGGCTTTCACAGTCACCCCTACAAAACCTTCTGTGGACCCCTGAGTTCTGTTTCTAAGTGGTATGCATTCTCCAGTTCTGCTACAATCGCGTATAGGTGTGCTTTCTGCTATTTACAAATTAACTGGTAAGTGTAACCACTGCCCAAGCACTGACAGAACAACTGTAATAAAATTTTTCACTTGAAAAAAAGTGGAAAAAAAATTTTTATACCTATGTATTCTAGCTATCCAAAGAAAAGTTCAATTGACTCTCAAAATGAGTAAATAACAGAAAGACACTGAGGATCAGAGAGTAAGAGAAACAATCAGATTAGTAAATTAGAGCAGTGGAATGGACCCAAGTGTTCAGGCATCAAGTCCTCTTTTCATTGTTCTACGGTAGTTCTTCTTATGTATTTAACATATTTAATTTTTACAAGAGTTCAAGACCTTGACAGTTTTATAGAAGTAAACCCTAACACGGGTGATACAAAATGGTAAGGTCTTAATGAGCTTTTATTCTTTATGCAAATAAGATTTACCAAGTTTGCAGGGATAAGGATGTTTATCAGTTGAAATTGATTTTGCTGTTTAATCTCAGGTTGTTAAGGTTAATGAAAAAAATGGACATCTAAATAAGATTCCTGGGTCAACCTACTAAACTGAGACTTGATTCACTTTATGAATGTATTTGCTTTGTATAGTAATTGAATGCCCACGTAAATATCTTTTCTAATTAGTATATTCACAGAGTTGTGCAACCACTGCCACAGTCAGTTTTAGAACATTTTCATCACCTTGGAAAGAAGTCCCACACCCATCAGCAATCACACATCATTTTCCACCAACCCCTCAGCCCAGGCACCTTCTAATCTACTTTCTGTCTCCATAAGTTGCCTTATTCTGGATATTTCATACAAATGGAATCATACAATGTGTGGTCCTTTGTGACTGGCCTCGTTTACTTAACAATGTTTTTGAGATTCATCCATATTGTAGTATGTATCAGTATTTCATTTCTTTTTCTTGCCAATTAATATTCCATTGTATGGATATACAGCATTTTGTTTATGTCTTCCTCAACTAATGGGCATTTGGGCCATCTCCACTACTGGACTGTAATTCACTATTGTGAACAATCTGCTTTAAACATTTGCATGTAAGTTTTTCTATGAAGCATGCTTTCATTTCGCTTGGGTATATACCTAGGAGTGGAATTGCTGGACTGTAGAGTAACTCTTTATTTAACAGCTTGAGAAACAGACAGATAGTCTGTCAAATCAGCTGTTCCATTTGATGTTCTCATTAGCAGTGTTATGGGAGAGTTCCAGATAGGTACCTTTTCAAGCTGAGTTTCCACTGCAGGAAACATTTTCTTAAGTGTAATTCCATTTGGATTCAGTAAGATCCAACACAATGTTTGGGTTTATATATATATATATATATATTTTTTTTTTTTTTTAATTCTCACCTGAGGATATTTTTTCCATTAATTTTCAGAGAGTGTAAAGGAGGTGGGAGGGGAGGGAGAGAGACAGAGAGGAGAAGGAGAGAAACATTGATGTGAGAGAGACACCTTGATTGGTTGCCTCCCACACACACCCTGACCTGGTGGTAGGGAGTGAACCTGCAACCCAGGTATGTGCCTTTGACTGGGAATCAAACCCGAGAACCTTCTGTGGGTGGGCCAACACTCTAACCACTTAGCCATGCTGGCCAGGGCTGGGTTTATATTTTACAGAGTTGTTATTTAATTAAGAAACAAAGCTATGACCATTAATCGGAACTTATAATTCCGCAATGTTTCAATGAAGGAAAACTTAACAATAAAGCTGTTAGGGGACAAACACTGTGAGTCATGAGTTCTCTCCTATGGATATTGTTCAAGGCATCTGAGAAGAATACTTTGGCAGAGAGTCCTCTGTTTTGCTGGCTCCCAGATGTTAGTGCACATCAGGATCACCTGCTGGGCCAGGGCTCACACTTTGAGAACCTGTGCTCATTTGAGTAAGGTGTTGGACTGCCCAACCTCTAAGCAGCGGTTCTCAACCTTGACTTGCATGTTAGACTCACTGGAGAGGTTTCAAGCAATTAAATCAGAATATCTGGGTGTGGGACCCATTAACATTTTAAAAAGCGCTATAGATTATTTCATTGTTTGTCAAAGTATTGTCTATTATTATGGTTCTAAAATTTAAAAATGTGTTATTACTTATTGGCAGCAAAATAGAATTTCCTTTGGAAAATCTATCACCATCTCATGAAAAAAAAAAAAAAAAGGCATGGAAACTATCACAGACTCTGGGAGACTAAAGAGACATGATGATTATGTGGAAGTGGTATCCTGATCTGAATTCTGGAAGTGAGAAAGGATATCAGTGGGAAAATGAATGAAATACAAATGAACTCTGTAGTTTAGTTAAATGCACTGTAGCAATGTTGATCCCTCAGTTTTGCCAAATGTACCATAGTTATGTATGATATTAGCACTAGGAGAAGTTGGGTGAAGGGTATACGGGGATTCTTTGTACTATCTGTGCAATTTTCCTCTACACTTAAAATTATTCCTAAATAAAAGATAGATTTAGCAATCTATCATCTTCCAAACCTACTTCAGTTCTAGAGGCTGAAGTCCACAATCAAGGTACTGCCAGGGCTGGGTTCCGGTGAAGCCTCACTTCTTGGCATGCAAACGGCCACCTTCTCACGCGTCCTCAGATGCCTTTCCTCTGTATATGCACACACAGAGAGAGATCTCTGAGGTCTCTTCCTCTTCTTATAAGGACACCAGTCCTAAGGGTTTAAGGCTCCATCTACCCTTATGACTTCACTTAGCCTTTATTATCTCCTTAGAGGCCCGATCTCCACATCATACTGAGACTAGGGTTTCCATATCTGAATTTTGGGGGACACAGTTCAGTCCATAACATTACTATTTGCAAATTACTTCCCTCTTCTATTTGCAGTTTTTACAAGCTGGTGATATTTGATTTTACATTGCTAAGGACCATGCAAACACATCTCAAGCTCACTGACACCTTTTTGTCCTTTGAAGCTGCCTATTTGTTAAAATTGGGTTTTGTACTATACAAACAATTCCTAGCTAGGTTTATTATTCTTGGAATGACATTTTAATAATCACATTAAAAAACCTTCTAATAATATTAATTCCACTTTCTCAATACTTAGTATCATTTTAACTCAATTATATGTTTTGTGAAACATCTATCTTAGAACTAGAAGATGATTTTCCATGTGCCAGAGATGATAGTATGTGAACAAATGTTTTCCTCTCCCTTAAGAGCTCTTTGGAAATGTATGAAATGGCACGTTTGCAAAGGATAAGGCATGATTAAGAGCTAAACTTTCCTTTTGGGTTTCATGCCTCTTCTATATTAGAGTTTACTAACATGGAGGAGGAAGGGAGCTAGACCTTTTACTATTCCTGCCTTAGAACTTTTCTGTGTTTCATAGGAAAAAGCAAATATGCCTACATTTTGTTAAGCATAGTGATATTTTGAGATTAGCAGAAATCTAGGTCAAAGTTCTTCTACAATCTTCAAAGTATTGCTTTCCATTAAAAATAAAATGAAAATTGGAATTTCTCCAAGCAACCTGTGGATAATTTTCATTAAATTGATACACTCTCAGATATATTGTACATGAAAAGCTTTCTAAAATGGCACTACTATTGTGAAAATATTACCAGAATCAATTTCAGATGGTTCCTGCCTGAATGAAAAGGCTTGTATCCTGGCACTAGGTGATGCGCCACGCGCCTGTCGCTCACTCTTGAAGGCACAATCGTGGTCTTCGTAGAGAAGTAAAACAGTACATGTATTCTACTTGTGCACCTGTGTGGAAACCTGGCAAACGTAAACAGGTTCATGTTACTTGAGCAGAATTTTAATAAAATAAAAAATTTTTAGGATAAAAAAAATTCGAAGTAGCTTTGACTTAAAGTACCAAATATGTGTTTGCTTCCTCAGGCTAGATGGCCAACTCAGTGGACTGACTGATGCTTCAAAGGACAGGTCCACCAGAACCACTGCCCATTCGTATGAAGCCAGGAAGAATTTCAGGTAGCACCATGGTCAATTATAAAACAAATAATAAACGTCACACATACAACCTGACCCCTCTTTTGAAATGCAGGAAGTTCTAACTTTCTCAGTGGCTAAGCAGGGTTACACGAAGGTGTTGAGGTAGCAACTGGGTTGTTGGTAAGTTGTGATGTCTGCATAGGAAAGTGTAGAATGTTATTTTTCCCTAAAACGTCTACTTGTTTGTTTGTTTTTTTAAAGCATGATGGGGACATTGGTGTTGACATTCTTTAGGTGGACTTAAAAGTTTCATTAAATCAGATGTTATCATGTTAGTGAAGGCCCCTTTTTGTTTGAGGTTTGTGGGGCAAGTATGGTTTGGAAATATGAATGGGACATCAGGGAATCAGACAGTAAAACATATTACACAAATATTCAAAATAACCTTCATGTTCTACAACAGATTTAGGGAGTGAACAGTTTTCATAATAGTATTCTGGAAGTAGGCCAAGCTAGTGGGAGGTAGGTGCAAAATGGGAGACAAGGAAATTTTGCAGAAATGGATTAATACCACTTTAATGTTTATATTTCAAAGGTTATAGTTTAGAAGTAGTATAGCATTTTTTGCATTGGTTTGAATAATAGCTTTGTTATTTTAAATTATTCTTGTAATTAAACTTTAAACACAAGGTAAAATGTATCTTCCTCAGCTCCAATGCTGACCCCAGGACCATGGGACCAAAGGATACTGTTGTGTACACGAGAACATATGTGGAGAACAGGTACTGGAAGTTTATTTAAAATATTTTTCTATACTTATAATTTTGAGATGATCTCTATTTAAGAAGAAATGGTATTATTTTAGAAGATGCTTGCTTTTTTCAAATAGAAGACCATTTAAGAGTACATTAGATTCTAGGTATATAATGCTTTATAATGTTTCCAATATTAAGTAGTTGTCAAATAATCATAAAAAGTCATTTGATGGACTAAATATTTTAATATAGCACACGTTTAGATGACAGGATAGCCATTTGAAAGTTTTCATATATGTTTATGTGAGAATGTGACTATATGTTTATAACTAGCTTTATAAAATCACACAAAAATGTCTATGCTGATTTGGAGTTGCATTTTAATTAAATGGTTGTATCCACTGTTGTTTACCTCTTATCTGAAATAAAGGGTATAACTTTTGGTAGATATACTCTGGCCCAAATTACAGGGAATTCATGTCCCACAAAATCTGCTGGTTGTGTGATGGATGTTGTGGACAATGTCGACCAAGGTCAGGGGTGCACAATTCATTTGATTTTCAAGGAGAATAAAAACAAGAATTGGTCTAATTGTGGGGTAACGTGATGGTGGGGCATGCAAATGCAGACATAGGTGACGTGTGTTAATCAGAGCCCATTTCAAAGACACCAGGGGGCAGAGCATCTAGGAGGGCTTCCAGTGGGAGGGGACCGAAGGAAATTCAGTACATTCAGTATCAGAAGGTGAACAACCATCCAAAAAAGAAAAAAGAAAAAAAGAAAAGGTTTCTCAACCCCACACATAATTTATCTTGTAAAATGCACCCCCCAAATTTGATTTTTCTGCTGAATCCAATTCTCCCTAAAATCTACACTGAGTGCAGTGCAGTACAAAGGCCCTGGAATCAAACTTGGGGTTCAATCTTTGTCATTTACCGACCATATGGCCTCGACAAAGCTACTTAACAGCTTCAAGTCTCAGTTTCCTCATCAGTAGAATGGGAGTAACGATATATGTGCCATGCATAAATATGTGCAGACTCTTACTTAGCATTGTGGGTTATGTTTTTCATAAAGTAGATTCTATTTCTGACAGCAATCTGCCTACGGGCAGTTTGGAGGGAAAGAGAGATTTCTCATTAAAAAAATCCCAAGTGAGGGCGGTGGCGTTATCACTCACACTATGAAATAGTAGAAGCAGATTGCTCCCAGTCCTGATATACTCACAGGTAGCATATGTACTTGGGAAGCAATTATGAGCGGCCAGGTGGGTAGCGCTTTACAGATTTCATTTGTCTCCAGGAAAGAGTGACATTTACAAACTGGAGCAATGAGAGAAATGGAACAAAGAGGACTTTTTAAAATTACACTCTTTTTTTCTTTGCTTTCATGCTAATCTTTCTTGGATATTTTTAAGTAAAAATAAAGACTTCTGTAGCTTGTGTAAAAGTTGAAGAGTCTCTAGTTCTCCATGTGAACCGTGTACATGTAAATGTGCTTGCACTGGCTCTCGCTTTATGCATTTTCATTATGTTAGGCTGCCTGTGGTTTTCTTTTCATAAATAAATGAGGGAGGTGCAAGCATACATTTCATGAAAAATGACAATATCTTTTGCTGTGCATGCTTGCCTCATTCTCTATATACTTGGTAGATATGTCAGCTTATGTCAGCTTGGAGGTAGCTTGTGTATAAGCATTTCTCCAGATTTAAAAAAGGTATCAGTATATTGTCCTGGCTGGTAATGTCACAAAGAAAATACTAATAAGGCTGCGCGAGGAAGTGTGTGTGCTTTCTCACCTGCACGTGAGTACATTAATATTAGGGAAATAGCCCCGTTCTCACATGTCCATATGTGTTGTTTCTAGTAAGTCACCAAAGGATGGCTATCAGGAGAACGTCTCTGGAAAATACATACAAACTGTGTATTCGACTTCAGATAGGTGAGTATGCCTATAATTCGATACATAAAAGTCTATATACACACACTTGTATGTACATTTTATATATATGTGTGTGTGTGTGTGTGTGTGTGTGTGTGTATATATATATATATATTCCTGTTGTCTGTTGTACTTGGAGATGGTGATTGTTATATACAGGGTGGGGCAAAAGTAGGTTTACAGTTTTCATATGGAAAATAATACATAATTAATAAATAATAATACAAGGATAAACTCTGTTTCATGTACTCACAATGGTAAACTTACTTTTGCCCCAGCCTGTATGTGTGTGAAGTACACCTCTGCATCCAGGAATTTGTTCCTTGGCTTCTGGGCTGCTGCTAATGCCCCTTATTTCAATGAAGCTTTCCATGCCTTGCAACTGCCTCCTAGGCCAGCCCCTCCGCTGTCGCTGATTCCCAGGAGTCCCCAGGACCACCGCCTTGTTCGCGTCCAGGTCTCACTGCATCACTGGGCTGTGCCTTCAGCCCTCCCTTGCTGTGGTTCCCCAGAGCATCTCCCCTTACAAACAGCTGAGTGGGTACGCTGCCATGACCCACTCTGGGCCCACACGCATTTCCCAGGAGGGGGCCACATATCAGTTTTGTGCTGGTAAAGTGACCCCAGGCTTTTGCTGTTAGTGATCATCTTTTACCATTTAATGTTCACTGGGGCACATAGATGACACTCATGAGAGTGTGGCCAGCAGACTTCTAGGGGAGGAAATGAAAGTAAATAATTAGCATTTCATCCCAACCACTGGAGACCAGCTGTAAAGCAAATGTCTGATATTCTACTGATGGTGTTTCTGTACAGAAGAGGTGGTGAGAAGGCTCGTTGAGGGTAAAGACATATCTTATTTTTATGCACAGCTTCAATTTGTAATACGGTGGTTGGCACTGACCAGTTACTCAATAAATGTTTTCTGAAAAACATGAACCTATGTTCTGTTTGCTAAAGGAAACATGGATGGACCAGGCATCAAAACTATAACCCCTTTCTGTCACTTTTATAAAATCTTGCCCGTTACCAGTATTCTCTGAGTGTCTTGCCTTTTAAGTCATTGTTCTTTGAGGAGTGAAGTCATCTACATAAGCATGAGGTACAGATACTGCCTAGGGGACCAGACACCAGAGCTGGATTCCTCATAATACTTAGAAAACGTCTTTGACTAACAGTATGATTTTAATAAGGACAACACCAACATCAGAGCTTTCCCTGGGCTCTTATTTGTATTGTTAACTTAAGGAAGGAAAGCATTCTTCATAGAAGTATTGCTCTTAATATGAAGAATTTCAGTCCTGGCCCTCAAGTGGTCCTTGAAATTTTTCTTAATCATCAGAGCAAAATTGAATTTCCTGTTAAGACCAGTCAGTCAAGCAAGTTTTGCTGTTGATTATTGTGTGAAATAAGCCATGTCCCCACAGTTCTTATCTAAGTACCCTAATCCCATTAAAGTGGCTTCCCACTTAGGGGATTAAGACAAACTCCTCTGCACGTTATTTATGGTCGTCAGAACCTGCTCCTGCTTACTGACTACTGTTTAATCCCTCCGGCACCCTCTGTATAGCACTTTGGTGCACCCTGTTCACTCTGCTTGGTGTCCCCCATCAGGCCCCCCCACCTCACTGAGCTCACCTTGAGAGCCCCTTCATCTTCCAGCTGTAAGTCACATGACCCTTTCCACAGGCCTTTCCTGCCTTCACCACAGGGATTAGTTGCTCCTTTGGCTGTGCTCTCCTAACTCTTTCCACATGTCTGTAATACGCTGCAATCATCTAATCACACACCTGGCTACCCCAGTGGACAGGAAGCTTACCAATTGTATGACATCACCCTTTGTGCCTCAGTTTCCTCTTTTGTGAAATGATGATAAAAATAATAGCATCTGCTTCTCAGAGGTGTTGTGAAGAATAACTGATTTTAAATAAGCAAAGTGCATGGAAAATACAGTGTACATATTAAGCATGTTAGCACTATATATGTAGTGGCTATTTTTATTTCACCACCCTATTATGTATCAATTCTGGAAATTTCAGCCTGTATGTGAACCCTGAAACTAGTAAAGACCTCCAGGTGCTATTGAAGACAGTCCTAAGGCCTCCCAAAAGGAAAGAATCACATAGCTATTGGCCTTTCTTTAGGCTCTGGTGTGACCCAAGGTCTTTTGGACTTGCTGATTAAATATCTATAGTTCATTTATTATTCGACATTATTTTTCCACAGTAAATGATAAAACTTTTTTCTTCATCAGATTTGTGTGTGTATGGGGGTAGGGTTACATCATGTTGAAGAATATAAATGTTATCATAAAAGGTAGCCCAGCATTGTCTTACAGTGACACCAAGGGTAGTGTCATAGGGGAGCATTTTGGTGACTAACCCTAGACCCTAGGGTACTATGGATCCATCATTTATGAATTTACCAACACACTCTTGGATGGAATTCTATTTTTGTCCTATTGAGTGTTTTGAGAGTTAAAATTTTATATTAATCTACAGTATAATTTTTCTATGATACAGGTAAATTAATAATTCAAAACCCTCTTTGAGCTTCAAGGAGTACTTATAAATTAGTTCAATTAGGAAACTGTAATTATCTTTGCCCTGCCCAGATGGACTTTTGATTGCTAATGAATTAATAATTTGAGACTTTCCTTTATGTTAATTCTTTGATATTATTTTGAGATAATTGGAAGAATCAATTCTATCACTAGAATAAATAAATCCCAAACTTTCCTGGATCTTTATACAATTTCCTAAAGTATCAACAAAATTAACGTATCATTTCCACATCACTTTTGGGGAATACATCTGTTTTTTGTATGATGACAAATTTATTTTTAATTGCTTACATCTCTGTAGGTCTGTCATTGAAAGAGACATGTGCACTTACTGCCGAAAGCCCTTGGGCACACAAACAAAAATGATTTTAGATGAATTACAAATTTGCTGCCATTCCACTTGTTTCAAGGTAAGGATACATTTACTGTGTTTAACTAAATAGAAAATTGCATAATGACTGGAATAAAAATAATTATTTAATGAAATACATGAGACAAAGTTAAAGCTTTCAGAAACACTCTCATCCACATTAATAATGCACTACTTAAATATTTCCCAGAGTCCTGCAGCCTAACCTCAAAGGTTTATAATTACTGTCTTGGCATTAGGCTTAGAGTTGATTCTTGACACATTTATTCCTCTTACCCTAGAGATTTAAACCTATAAAAAGATAAACACTTGTTTTCTTTATAAAAGTTTTTACAGCATTTTAATAAACCATGCATTACATAAACTATGTAATGAAGTCCAAAAAAAAGAAATTGTTGAGAAGGAAGCTAGCAGCTCCTTATATCATGAAGTTAAGACTGAAAGGCTTAATAGTTGAAACTCAGTGTGCTTTTGAGAGCATGATCAATTGTGGTTAATTGTGGCTTAGTATAGTAACAAGAAGGATTGCATAGGACAGTGCTTCACAGCTTGTGTTTTCATATTTCATTGCTTTTACTTCTCACAAGAATGTTGGGTAGGTCAACATAGTTTTTGGTATAACTGGATGAGCACGGAACTGAGAACCTGAAGATCTGATTTTGAATTCTACCTCTGTCACTAACTGTGGCCCCAGAGACTTTTGGATAGTCACCTAAATTAGCTGGCCTTGCCCTGGCCAGGTCGTTCAGCCAGTTAGAGTCATCTAATGACTCTGATTTGCCAATGTTTTGGGTTCCATCTCCAATTAGGGCACATGTAAGAAGCAACCAATAAATGCATAAATAAGTGGAACAATAAGTTGTTGTTTGTCTCTCTCTCTCTCTCTCTCTCTCTCAAATGAATAAATTTAAAAAATTATTATAAAAACTAATTAGCCTGGCCTGTTTTCTCATCTATAAAACAAAGAAGCTGACTAGACTAATGGTTCTCCATCATGGCTCTACATTATGATCATCTGGGGAGGTTAGGAGGAAAATACAATGCTTGGGACCAGCACTAATTACATCAAGAATCTCAGAGATGATTCCTGGGCATTGGTATTTTTTAAATCTCCTTAGATAGACCTAATGGGCAGCCAGTCTGAGAACTATTTGCCTAAATCTGCGGTTCTTTCTGTGCTGACATTCTATGGTTGATGGAAATTATCTAATTCAGTCAAGTAGCTGTAATACTTTGACAACTGATTTTTCTCCTCCAGTTAGCTTCAGACAGTGATACATAGCAATCAGAAATACGATGCCTCATTTTGAGCAAAAACCCCCCACTAATTTTAAGCCACAGTATATATAATACTATATAAAATATATTTTGAAAATTGTGTAATTATTTAATTATGAAAAAATGAATATTTCTTTTAGTTTTAAAATTAACAATTAAAAAGCAGTTATAGTTCTTTATTTAAAATTAGTATGCAAGAAAGCTTTTTAAAACAAGGAAATTCTCCTGGTTTTTGCTTTGGTAAATATGAATAATTTTCATTTACTGTATTTTGGATGATTTATTTTCATTTTCAATTTAATTAAAAAATACTTCTAAGAACAAAAATGTTCCCTCACTCCTAGAAAAAGATGGGTTATTCTATAGCCATGATAATAGAGAACTATATGGGCTGGTTTAAACATGTAAAATTGATCAATGACAATTTACTTCAATAAACTGGCCTCTGAAAGCCAACCAATCAGTGACAGCCTCATGCTGGAAAGTCAGTCAATCAGCAGTGGACTTGCTCCCATGAACACAGGTCTAAAGCAGATGTCAGCCCTTTCCCGTCTCCTAACCAACACTATTCATAATCACCTTCCCCCAAACCCTAGGTAAGATCAAAAATTTGTTTTGCTTACTGTTTGCTTAATGTCTAGTGTGTATGCCTGGACTGCATAGGTCTCCTTAAGTAAGCAAACAAGAAATACGCTTTGTGTTTCTGTTTTAGATATCAAGTGGTGATCTTATCCTTGGCATAACCAATTTTTGAAAATTTATATCGACTGTACAGTGAGTTAAGTAGAAACTTCCGTGGTAGATATGCTCTGAAATGCACCCCTGCATAGTAGAGAGATGCTGTGGGAATATATATAAAAAGTCCTGCATGTGCGCTATAGACAAGTACACTCGCACTTTCCCTGTGGATTCTCATGAGGCCGCATGTGAGCGCTAATATGGAGACTCGTACTGAGTGAATTGAAAGGGCTTTCACGTTACATTAAGAGTCTATACTTTATTTGTGATGTAAATTTATGTATTGTTTTTTACTTTAGTGTGAAATATGCAAACGGCCTTTGGAAAACCTGAGAGCGGGAGACAGTATTTGGATTTACAGACAGACGATACACTGTGAACCATGCTACTCCAAAGTCGTGGGTAAGTGTTAAGCTCTGTAAGAAACTATTGCTTTTGTTAATATTAATGGGCATTTAATATTGTTGAAAATGAAGGAGTTCAATAAGGCAAAAATATTTTATTAATTATATTTAGTTAATTCAGCTGCAGATAGTATGGCAGTATTTTGTTTTATGGTATAAAAATCAATCAACATTTATATTGTCTTCTGATATTAGACCAGACATAAGTATAACTAACCAAGGAGGTTATTTATAATAGGAAAATGTTCCATTTTTTTCTAAACAAAAATAGATCTCTGCTCAAACAGTTGTTGGAATTGAAGTCCATGTCTGTGAATGACCTTTTACATTTGCACTGAAATATACATTTTCACCTAATTTGATTATTCTGCTAAATGCCTTTTAATGTTTTTTAAAATGGGAAATTTAAAGTTAATTATATATAATTCTATATTAAATATAACATGTAAGTTTTTTTATCAGTTTAAGATCAACATTACTATAATTTGGACTCTTCATTAGCATAAACGACGTGAGAAGCAAACATTAATGACCTGCATTTTTAACTCACATTTTCCATAAACTCAGCATGAAAACTTGAACAGTTGACTTAAAAGATATGCACAGTGCCTAGTAAGTCAGGAAACTAGAATCCTATAAAACTTCATTAGTTTTTAAAAAGCCAGTAACAACATAATAATATGAATTTTATTTTTAATTCATAGTAAATAGATAGGATAACCAAGATGACATTGGGGAGCTGGTCAACAGCACTGCATGACTGACCAGTTTCTTGATGTCTTGGTGTGGTGAATGAAAGAGGAACATTTGCAATTCTTACATGGAACCCGAAATATGGAATTTAGTGACAGTTGTGTAAGATAAATGAAGTACTGGGAAGATACATCTGGAAAATGCTCTGAAAAATATTAAGAAACCCACGTTCCATCGGGCTGCAGAACCAATTAGAAGAACGAGCCTAACTACACCCCTACTTTGCCTTCTCTCCCCTGCTCTCCCCAGCCAGGTCTCATATTCCATTCTCCTCCTAATTTGGCAGCCTTGTCATGATCCAATATTGTACCCAGAGCCTTCATGGACACGGTGGCAGCTCTAAAAACGCTCGGTCTCCCAGAAGCCGTGATTGGCTTAGGAGGTGCGGCCACCAGAAGACTCAGAAGTCACTGTGTCTTCTTCCTGTCTATGTGCACTCCATGGGCATTGTATTCTTTTAAATCCTCACCCAAGGGCATGTTTTTATTGATTTTAGAAAGAGAGACAGCAAAGGAGAGAGAGAGAAATATTGATGTGAGAGAGAAACATCGATCGGTTGCCTCCCGAACTTGCCCCAACCGGCCCGGGATCGTACCTGCAGCGTCGGCACGTGCCCCGGTGGGGAACGGAGCCTGCGACCTTCTGGTGCACAGGACAGGTGCTCCAGCCAACTGAGCCACCCGGCCAGCGCGGCATTGCATTTTTACAGGAAACTGAAGTTGTCAAGACATAACTCTCAGGCAGCTCATAAATATGAGCACCAGGCATCGGCCCTTCATATTTATGGCATGACCAAAAGCCACAGTGATGGATGCAGTAGAAGGAAAGAGTAAAATGCTGAATCTCCCATGACCCCCTTGATGAGCTATTATTTTAAAAATTTAATTGTAAGCTTCTTTTTGTACTGAATTTGCATATCTAACTGTTATTTTCTTTAAAATTTTCAGCAAAGTGGATTCAATAATTCTGGCATATGGAAATCAAGATGAAAACATTCATCAAGGAATTAAAGTTTTTATTTTAAGAATATGTAATTTAGAAAAGCTTTTACATTGAAGGTTGACCTTTGTGTACAATGAACAATTCTGCTATTGCATAAATAACCTAATTGCCTTCAAAAAGGTCATATACATAAAGGGAACCATCTGTTATCTGGCTAGATTCAGTCATGAAAAATTCAAGTGGTTTCAGTTACCAGTGTCAAAGGAACGATACTGCTGATGGCTGTGAGCATTGTCAGCCCTAAAGATGTCCACCTCTGCTCCAGATTTAGGCTGTCATGGTTTCTACTATAAACAAGCTTCTCATTTTCTCACCTTTGTTTCCCCAAGAATTTGGATTTGCAGACAATATTGACATCTTGACACACTGTCAAGGAAGCAAGATATGTTCCTTCATGTGCAAAAGAAACATTGATAGAAATTTTCTTATAAAGTTTGGCAGAAAAAACAATAACATATAAAGTCGTATGGACCTCAGAACTTTCTGGGTCTCTGCTTTTATTTATAACACAAGGGACATTGGAAATTGTTCCTAAGGTCCCTTTCTGACCCTCAAATTATTCTAAAGCAAGTTTTTGTTTGCTCTTTAAAAATATATCTGAATGTTTGTTAATCATATTGAACTAGAGAGGATACCTGAACCATTTAACCTTAGTGTCATCCTTCATTTTATTGCAGATATAATTTTTAAAAACAGGAAGACATTGATTTATGGGTAATGGGTAAAATTATATGACATGTATTTTACATATTATAATTTGTTAATTTTTTTGCATGCATTTCAAGATCTGGGTATATAAATAATCTATGAGAAAGTAATGGTTATGGACTACAAAGACATGCTCTTTAGTATGTTACATCTATTCATATTACATAGCACTTTATATTTACAGATGGCTTATAAAAATAAAATGAACTGTCAGTGACACACAATCTTGTGGCATGTCTATAAATATCATTAGCTGGCATTGATTTTGTCAATTATAGTGATCACAATTTATTATGTTCTATACCATACTGGTTAACTTAATTATTTAGCTGCTCAAACTATAGCTTTTATTATCAAAGGGCTTTTCTTAAGAAATTGAAAATTCAGTAATGATATGTGAGGAACTAGGACTATTGTTAAGATTGAGAAACTGAACTTATAAGCTATTTTGTGTACATAGCAATTGCTTCTTGAAGGAAGGCATATGGGACATCGAGGAGGGGGTGGCATTTTGGAGAAGTTTAAGGCAGTTGTAAAAAACTGATATAAACTAGGGAGATTGAAAAAAGATAATCATGTATTTTCCAAATGTTGATAAATTTAAAGAATTATTCTTTTGTATGAAGCATCTGCTCTTCTTAGAGACTGGTCTGCAGTGTTAAACACAAAATGCTTATCAAAATTCAGCAATGTATAATTGTTGTCCTATCGAAAAGGAGCCAGAAAAAACAATTAATAATAATTTTATATTCATTAATTCATGCTAGATGAGAAGCAGTGGTAATTGAGCCATATGCTTTATTGTTCTTTTATTACATGCTATCAGAGTGGATCAAAAGAAATAATTTTCTTAGAGTTGGAATTCGTGGCAGAAAAGCACGGATGGAACAGTATCCCTCCCTTTTATGTAAAGTGCATTAACATCTCAATGCCTTTGTAGTAATTAAAAATCATTCGAATGTCATTTTTGAAGTGTTCTACTCTAAAATGCTTCATTAAAAAAACAAACCTGAAAGGAACATATTCCTCACTTTTCTGAAGCTGTTTAATGGGCCCTTTCCTTTACTATAATGTATTAAATTAACCCAAAAGCTGTTGTAAAAATGGAATAAATACAGAGTGGAGAGAGAAGAGCTTCTGATTCTCCAAGTCAGCCTCATCATGTCCGGATTTGTTTGCATCACGGGAATGACAGATTCCTGAAACAATGTGGAAGATCTCCTTATATTGCAGCCAATTAAGAGATGTCTCTAAAAGAGAATTAATTGCTCCACAGGACGATATCCTAAATAAAGCAAAATGGAAGAACTATCATCATCTCAGAAATAGAATTCATTAAAGTAGTATTCTTTCAGTTAGGCCAAGAAATAAAAATGCATTCAAGAAGTAATCTGTACATCCGTCATTGCTTGATTGCAGTCACTCTTACAGTGAAGATCTGAGTGAGGAAGTGGTTCAGCTCTCACTGTGGTTCACTCACTGACTTGTTTCCTACAATAGAAAATCATGAACGCTTGGAACATTTTCCTGCTCAGCTTGATTCAGAGCCCTGCCAAAGCAAGGGCTGTTTGGTCTGTAACATGGCAAACTGACAATGACATTTTTTCCCCTTGGTACTACTGAATTTACTGGCTATTTTGGCACAAGGTAAATAAATGGCTTTTAGAGTTTCACCTATTCTGTGTCACTCAACAATTCCTAGAGGCACCCATAAATATCTGCATTAACCTGGGGAGGCCGGTTCCTTCAATTCCCTGCTATTTAAAATGCGAGGCTTAGGTTACTGGCTTTTTGCATGGATCTCTTCCTGCTGCTTACTCCATTCTTAGATGGTCCCTCTTCTTAGATGCCTAAGATCTGTCCCGTGTTTTGCATGTAATTTAAAATTGCATGTTGATTTTATCACAACACAAAAGTTGGTCACCATTCTGAGTCTCATTTACTGGGTCTTTGCCCTGCCGTTTGAGAAGTATGGTTTCTGAGAGATGTTGCTGAAATGATCAAACTCATGAATTAGGTAATGGTTTCAGTATTTTTAATATAAGAGAGAAAACTGAACATCATCATTGCCTTGTGAAGGCCATCTGGGAAGGATCTTCTACTGCATTGCCTCTGTGCTCTCTTAGATATATTCTTCTCATTAATACCTTGAAATGCCCGCGTGTTCTAGGCTCTGTATAAAAGAAAAGCCTGACTTATCAGCATTCATTATAACCGTTCATTCATTCATTCATTCATTCATTCATTCATTCATTCATTCATCTGTTCCATTACTCAATAACTTAAAAATCTTCCTTTATAACCTATGTTCCAGATCTTAGTGATGACCGGTAGCCGAAGCTCCTGTCCTCATGGAACTTACTTTCTAAAGGGAGAATAAAGGAGTAATTTGAAAGAGAAAACAAACACAACTTCTGAAAGTAAGAAGGCCCATGAAGAAAATAAAATACAGTGGTTAGGTGAAGGGGGAGTTTTAAAAATAATGGAGTGGACAAGAATAATCCAAGTCAGGCTATTTTCTGGGCTAAACCTGTCCTTTCTTCTTTCACACAAAATGAGATGGGAGTTCAAAGATGCCGGGAGACAGAGACCAGTCAAAGAATGTTTAAGTGTCCTCTGTTCCTCATGAGAGAAAATATTCAGCTATTACTTAGATAGCTTTCAGCCCTCTGACCTGTAGGGAGCTACGCCAGATGGCTGCTTGCCCTCGGACCCCGGACTAAAGTCGCTCACTTGGCTAAAGGAGCCCCAGGCGTGCTCCGGTGGCCGTGTCAAAGGTGGGTCGCAACCAGCCCCAACCTGGAGTGGAATCAGTGGGCCCAGTGTGGTTTTCCTCGCCTCATTTAAGGCACTAAGAGTCAAGCCCCTTTCTGTTTTCCAAATAGAAACATTAGAAGATTAAGCAGCGCATTTCGGATCTGGGAGAAACTTCTCACAGTAATTTTGTAAACATCACATGTTCTCTTGCCGCAATATGAATAATGTATCCGGTGGAAAGAACATTCAGATCTTGGTATAACTTTCTCAATAGTCACAATTTGTTACTTTTGCATTCTTTCCCAAGAGAAAAGGAAGGATCATGAACTTCAAGAGCCCTTCAGGGTCATAAAGGCGAATTAGGTTGAAAGTCTCCACGTCTTCAGGCCCTGAGGCAAGTGCAACTCTGTGGGTCAGGGAGAGGGAGACTGCAGGGGGCTGGGATTAGTGACCGGGGAGGCATGAGACCGAAGAACAGGCAAGAGACAGGCCGTGGAAGGTTCTTTCAGAATGGATCCTTAAAAATGTACACCATCAAGTGAATGGTGATGTTCACTAGAATTCATTTATATCTTTTAGATTTGTGCCATTAAAATATTATTGAATATTATTAATTTCATGAACAGGTTTACATTATATTGAGACAAATATAGTCTATTAATTTTTTTGACAAAGGCACAAAGACAATTCAATTGAGAAAGAATAGGCTTTTCAACAGATGCAACAAATGGTGCTAGAACAATTTGACACACATAGGCCAAAAAAAAAGCAAAGAAAAAAGAAAGGAAAGGAAATGAAAAGAGAAAAGACACAGACCTTACATCCATCTTTCACAAAAATCAACTCAAGATGAATTGTAGATTTACATGTATAATGTAGAACTATAAAATTTCTAGAAGATCAACATGGCCTTGAGCTCGGTGAAGAATTTTTAGATACAATATAAAAAGCATGATCTATAAAAGAAAAAAATGGTAAGTTCAGCTTCATTAAAATTAAAAAATTGTGCTCTGTGAAAGACACTGTTAAGAGAATAGAAAGATAAGCCACAGACTGGGAGAAAATATTTGCAAAACACATATCTGATAAAGAACTTGTCCCCTATATATGAATAACTTAAAACTAATAAGAAAACAAAAATCTGAATTAAAAATGAGCAAAATATCTGAACAGAGCCATAACCAAAGATCTACAGATGGCAAAAAAGCATATGAAAGATGCTCAACATCATTTGTAATTAACAACGAGATACTATGTCATGTCTATTAAAACAACTAAAAACTAAAAACCAAAAATACCAATTGCTGGCCAGGATTCAGAAGAACAGGAACTCTCGTTCATTGCTAATGGGAATGCAAAATGTACAGCCACTTTGGAAGACAGTTTGACTGTTTCTAACAAACCTAAACAGAGTCTTACCTTATGATTCAGTAGTTGTGCTCCTAGGTATTTAGCCAAAGAATTTGAAAACATGTCCATATGAAAAGCTGCACATGGATGTTTATAGTGGTTTTATGTATAATCACGAAAAACTGTAAGAAACCAAGATGTCCTTCAATAAACCAATGTCTCAACAAACTGTGGTACATCTATATAATGGAGTAATATTCAGCAATAAAAAGGAATGAACTATCAAATTTGCAGAAACATGAATAGTTCTTTTTCTCTTTTTAAATCCTTACTTGAGGATATTTTTTTCATTGCTTTTTCAGAGAGAGTAGAAGGGAGAAAGAGATAGAAACATCAATGCGAGAGAGACAC